TTATTTAGTTGTAGTCAGTTGTAAAAATCCTATTATCCTTTTAACTTTCATTATATTCACATACCGATAAATTCATACAATGGTTTACATTGTATTATCAAAACTCTTGCGTAGTCTGTTTGTCATCCTTGCATCCACTAACAGAAAAAGGCGGTATAAATAGATTGTATAGGTAGTTGACTATGCCATCTACGTGGTGTAGGTTTTATGGCCAATGTGAAATGATGTTGCAGAGTGTTACCTAATTTCTTTAGACTAACAATCCAGTTTGTGAAGATCTTCTATCGTATATAATTGACCTGGAACCGTGTGCACTTGCTGAAACTCCATAATTACAAACGAAGGAAAAACAAGACAAGTGTACGTTTCACAAATACATCATTTATTTACGACCATGGTTTCACTAGTACCTGATGGTACCTTTACTAGTGAAACCATGGTCGAAAGTAAATGATGTATTTGTGAAACGTACAACTGTCTTGTTTTTCCTACTTTAGTATCAAAATTTGTGAAAATATCAGTAGCTTATAATACGATTGTTGTTGTTGTTTGTTATTAAGCACAAAGCTACACAAAGAGTTATCTGTGCTCTGCCCACCACGGGTATCGAAACCCGGTTACTAACAGTACAAGACATACCACTGTGCCATTAGGGGGCAATACGATTGTAATTTACCTCTTGGGTAGTTATATTTGCATGGTTTTATACGCAATCATTTGTTCTCAACCGCATTATTATTTTGTTAAACAGATTTTTTAATTTTATTAGATAATAACCTTATACCACTGAAACATATAAGCATACAAATATCTCTATAAACGTATAAGTGCAGTTTCTGAATAACATATATTAATGGCAGTTTTATTCAAATTATATTTATTATCATTGTCTCTTGACGTTTCTAATCTTAAGAGTATGATCACACTTGGCAGGAGTTGACAAAATCAACACAATTGTCTACATTGTACAAAGATAGTTGGGCGGAAGTTTTCCGACATTTTTACTATTTCCAATATGCTAATTAGCCATCTCGACTGTTTGCGGGACCTATTGCGGAACATTGTTTTTTTGTATAAGTATAGTGATTCATATTACTTATAATAGTAAGAATTTTGACAGTAAATGGAATAACCCAGTTCATTCTCACAATAGCTATTAAACGTTTGGACTGAAGTATCAAATACAAAAACAGGATTTTGTTTTTGAGTAAGTTTGTTAAGCAAAATGTTTAAGGAATATCAAATAAATTAACCTATAAAATGCATTTCTAACTATATATATTGTAGTTTATCTTGAGTAGAAAAGAACAAAGCAACGAATAGGTTGTTTTTGAATTTTGCGCAAAGATATTCGAAGGCAGTCAGCACCAGCTGTCCATTATTTTGAAGAAGTAGACTAAAGAGAAAGCAGCTAGTTAACTTCATCCACTGCACTACTCTTATTAGACCGATTAGTGAAGTTTGACAGTAACTCTTGTAATGCACCTATGATACCGAAGTATTTATTGTGATGTTTTTACAGTAACGAGGCGCGAACCATGAAACATCATGACCACACTCCGGCACACTAGTCAATAGGCTGCGGTCGGCCCACGATTAATAAGAAAAAACCTAATGAGAACCTCCGACATTCATATATATATATATATTTATTTAAAATACACGGATCAATGAAATCAATTCTTTGTTGGTGTTTGGGGCTTATTGGCGCAAAGCAGCTTGCGCTTCAAATCTTTGTATTACAATACGTTTACTTATAACTGGAACTGATAACTTTCGAAAACACAACAGTAAAGGTGGTTCCTCCAACACCACCCTCCAATAAAAAAAGGATCAAATTTAAATTGCATAAAACTGTTTCTCTAAAGTATACGTTATATAATTACAGAGGGGTAATCATAATCTATGGTAACGAAGATAATTGTCTACGTCTTACGGTCTATTCTTACATCACCGATAGTGTTCTAAGTGATGACTTTGGTTATAGACTATTAGTTCTACAGTATAGTTTTTACTGCAGGGAGCGTTTGCGCAATTTACTGAAGTCAATACTGTCCGTCTCCTTTTTATATGCTTTTATGTGCGCAGACTATGACTTCTTAGGGTTTGTTTACGCAACCCAAAGGAAAAGACGTCCATGGGAGAAACATCTGGTGTTTTAAGTGTATGTCTGCGAATGGTAAAGCATCAATTCATACTTTTACTTGTATCTAGCTGAGGATGTTTTACTGGCATGTTGTCCTGAACATGTTACTGGAAATTCTGCTTTGATAAAGTCATACCTTATTAGCATCCAAAGGTGAAATTTTTGTTTTGCAAAATAGTGGTGCCATCATGTTAACCTAAAAGTATACAGAGTTCATCCTGGCATGTTTTCAACTTATAATTAAAGCTGAAAACAACCAAATTCCCTTAAAATATTTTCGTGACATGTTCTGCACAATTTTGTCAATGACATGTCACTAAAAGGATGGTAAAATATCGCCCAGACCTTATTACAGTTATACATGCTTCGCCCAGTGTACTTCCATTTCAAAATGCAAGGTACTTTTCATGCATCTTTCGTTTCTGCTCAGCTATTTGCTATGGGAAGAGCTTATGAACAACTTTCGTCTTCTTCTGTTTTTTGTTTTTTTTTGCCAAACGCTAAACCTTCGTATTTTACATGTTTCACATTTTCCGAATAGCGAAACTTAGCGTTTAAATATTCTATGACGTAACTCTTCCAAACGAGGTACATTTCAGACTTCATTTATACTCCTAAATCATACTAACACAGTTTAAGAGAAATGCAACAAGAGAGCCAGAGATTTTCATCTCCATAGTTACAGGCTGTGGGGATGGTTAAGGCGAGATGATTGGTTATGTAAATTCTTACCATAACTTGTGAACAATCCTCCGTAATAATAAATATAAACAGAGAGCAAGCTGAAAGTTTATACATATAAAACTGCCGTTTCTCAATGTTAACTTCAGCATGATTAGTATACATATATCTATTCACAAGAAAGCTACATATATTCGCTTCTTCGGTAAACTATTGAGCATACAAATGCCTTGAGAAAGTCAAACTTTTGATGTTTATCTATTTTCAAATGCTAGTTGTTTATGTATTACATAGTTATACAATAGGCTATCTGCAGTATTTCCACCACGGAAAATCAAACCTCCAGATCTTAGTTTTGTAACTCCGTAAACTTACCGGTGACCCACCATGGCATGTTTAGTTTATTATAATATCACTAGCTTTTGATGGTCTTATTGTATGTTTCTTTTTCTTAAACATACTTTTGATACCTATATTAAAGTCAAAAATAAATAAATAGTATTATTATCTGTGCTTTAAATGACACATGCATCGTAAATACTTAATGAAAAAATCATTCCGTATTTTTATAATTACGTTTTTCGCCATATTTCTTAGCCAGAAAAATATCGTATTTTCACCTGACATTGTTTAAAACAAAGGCTGCCTCTAGGCGTCTTTTCATTTCTATTTCTCTATGCTTCTTGCCTTATGAACATATTTCAGATAGACTTCGCAGTTCGAATAGCGTACAGCAATGTTTAAAGATTCACGTCAAGGGACGCGTGAATATTGCACGAAATGATAGTCGGCACTGACGCACTGAATGTTAATGATGTCGAATCGTTTATATCTCCGTTCTAGCTTCCGACTTCCCTTCCATCACAATCTCTATATAACATGTTTCCGTGTCCATCACTACTTCTGTCCATCTGGTTATCTACCCAAATTGCATAATGAAGCTAAAAATATACTAGATCATTAATTAAATTATAACACTTAGTAATTATAATGAGATTAATATTATCTAAAGACGTAAGATTGCTTGAGTTATAGGGAATAAATACTATTGAAAATATGTTTAAAGACCTGCGATTTCTTGACTGTTTTAGAACGCTTACATAAATCTACACAAGCGTCCCTAATTTTAAACTGATCGACTAGAATGGAAGCAGTGGGTCAACAGCATCCACTGCCAACTCTTTGGCTACTCTTCTTTGATCAAATTGTAGCACGTACAAAGTTCTAAATTTGGAGCGCGTTTTGCCACAATAGATCACGAAACATTAATTTTTGGATACACAGTCAAGGCACGGTTACCACTAGATCAATTGACTGCATAGGATAAGCTAATTTAATATAATTATAATATGCAGTAATAAGAAAGCACACATCTTGTATCTAGATACACACATAAAACACTTGAAGGGTAATTTAGTGTTAGAATTAACTTATCCTAACGATAAAAAGCACATAAAGTTATGATACCATATCATGCATAAAAGAGCTAACGTAGTATATGTCTATTTGCAATACTTGTTTGTACTATAGTAAAACTAACATTCACGAAAATCATTTAGGTAACTAAGCATCACGTCTCTTGTAATAAGGTGAGAAAAAACTTAATGACATTTTAAAACAGAAAGTAATAAATTACTTCTTTGTTAACATTTTTGAGATTTTTTTTAAACTGAAACATCATTATTATGAAAATGTATTTAACCTGTTTTAATGAAGTTTCTAATGTGGTACCGAATTTGACCCATGAAGACGAATCAAATAAATTGCGTTTAACAGTTTCTTTTCTCTTTTCATTAAAAAAAAAGAATAATTGATACAGATGTCGTCTTCATAGAGCATCTATAATCACGTTTGAATAATAACACTTCCAAGACTATGAAATTACTGTTATTATTTTCCCCTTATTTCAATTAAATAAACGAAATATAAACACTACTTATAAACTGTAAGATTTCACTAGCTATTTGTGATTATGATATTTGGATTATTGACTCAAAATAGAGTATCTAAATTTGTGAAGAAAAATTTTAAAAGTTTTAAAGGCCGATAATGAATAAGGAAAATGGAGATTTAAAACAATGTTTCATTGCTCCAGTAGAGTTTGTTCCATTTATCAAATATGACGACAAATAATAAGAGCAAAACGTTTAATCTTGTATTCCCTATGTATTAGGCCTGCTGAAGCTGCAGTATATCTTTCGTTTGACCACAGAGAGCTACCAGCTAGATATACGGGTTGTGAAAAGTATCGCTAATGCTTCTGATGCCAACGACTTTCTTCGCTCTATAGAGACTGAAGACAGACAGAGCACTAAACGTGTCGTCTTGGACTGCAGTGCTGCTATGGCTAAAGCTATCATCTATAACCACGTGCATGACATTCACATGGGGCGTCGAAATTATCATTACCTTCTTACCAGCCTGGTGAGTGGAAAACACTTTGTTTTCTTACAAGTAACTATTCTAGCTGCGCCATTGACAGCCTGTCAGAAGAGATAATTTGTTCTTATTACAGATTGAAAAGTTATCAGTCAACACCACTGACTGTTAAAAACATTTGTTATATCCCAACTAGCTACATCAGTAAGATATAGAAGAAATATCACATTGTGTTCTGGAAATTCTCTGACCTGTAAGAGGCACGCTGATAATGTTCCATGCAGTGTGTGAATGACAAGACAAGGCGGGGACATTTGATGTAGTACTGACTTTGCCTCGACATAACTGGGTAGCTAATTTGTTCTAAGGAACTAATTAAACATTAACAGTATGAAATTGGTTGCTTTCAAAACTTCATCTACTAATTTCAAACTATTATTTAGTGCTTGATAATAATCAAGCACTATTATGACATTGATTTCTTTCAAACTACGTCTGATAAGAGTCTCACTATTGTTGATTGCTTGACGAAGAGTTCAAAGAAACTTTACAAACATCAACTAGAATACGGACAGTAAAAATACAGACAGAAACTACACTAATTACAGAACTATTTCCAAGTACTCTTAGAGTTCATTATTATCACTTTGGGGAAAATATGGTGTTACATTCCATAGTAGGTAAATAAATGAAAATAGAGTGAGTTAGAACTATAAAACTTTAAAAAGTAGTCCTCATATAGAATTTTCTCACATATCGGAAGTGGTTTTAAAAAAATAGTTTTCATATGGATTTTGTTCACATATCGGAAGATATTTTTATAAAGTATTCCTCATATGAAATTTTTTCAGATATCGGAAGAGATTTTTCATATTGATCAGAACCTCCAAAAACAAACAATTTATTTTATGATCAAACTAAAATGCTCTTTTAATAGCGCAATGCTTTTTTGTAAACATATACCTTTTCAGTCTTTATTGAGATTTGAGGATTGTTCGATCTCCTAAGCCCATAATGGAGGATAAATTACCATATTCTTAATGGTACTGTGTTATATTGCATACAAAACATTTCAAAAGTCAGAAGATTAAGTATTATACAATACTTTAACTGATAAGGTGTAAGCTTTTTTTTAATTTTTAAGAAACAGAGCTATTGATTAGCTTTTGCTGACAACAGTACAAAAGCTAGAAACTTATACAGTGAATGTATGTGTAAATAAGTACTTGCGGTAAGACAGTGGCAATCAGTTAGCAATCATTGTCACGGTTAGTAGAGCCTATCTGTCACCAAAGCCTTTAATTATTAATTACTTACTAATTTATTTCATTACTACTTGATACTAATTACCAACTAGTTATATGCTATACGTTTCGGCTGCTAATCTGCTGTCTTCAGGGTAGTCCTGAAAAAGACTGTGTTTGTTATGTTTTTGGTAGAAAGTATGATGCGCTATCCAAGAATTAATTAATATTTAAAGACTTATACGTAAACCTAGAAGCTAAGTACCATGACAACCATTGTTTCAGGTTTGTATGCCGAAAAAAAAAAGATATTAAATTTCTACACCTAAAAGACGTTCTAAAATTCAAACAATCTTTGGGTATCTGTTTCTAAGTTTTGATTTATCTTATGTGTTTGTAGCAATATAACTTCTAATTTCTGCTTTGTTACTGGTAACTCAGATTATATAAGATTCACTTCCATGGTAGTTAGGCCTAACAAATGTGCTGAAAATTACGTTTAACTGCACGTTTTTTAAAATAATTTTTAATATCTATATCTTGTTAGAAAATGAGCTCAGATTTCGAACAGAAAAGCTTTTTTGGCAGTAACTTATGAAATAGATCTATTTTTATACGTCAGAGATTTAAAATCTGAAGTTGACTAATTAAGAAGAAGGTGATAAAAACATCGGCTGTTAATAGTCATTTCTACCACAGGCGTTAAACCTAATTAATTTTCTCGTTTCACAATCTTGGACATTTTGCACCAAAGAGCTTGTTGTGAAAGCATCGAAAGTCTTAGTTTAAGTATATTGTACTTGCTTAAAAGGTAGTAATATTTCTCTTTTTACAGACGAAAAACATTAATTTGTTTAAGACGTGTTTGTATGGATCAGATCTAAGGTAGTTCATAGTATGTATTTCGAACATTCCTTTCAATTCTCAGGATATATGTAATTTGTTTAATATTAGATTCAGTGAGCTTGTATTTTGTTGATGTAAGCGAGATGTGCTAGAATATCTGTAGTGATTGGGAAATGTTCTATACTACATTTAATAACCGCAGTTTAATAAGTGATATTGACAGGATATGTGTACCATCTTTAACAAGTGCTGTTGACAGGATATACGTATCGTGTTTGACAAGTACTGTTGATAGGATATATGTTTCATGTTTAATACGTTTTATTCACAGTATATATATACATATATGTGTGTGTGTATATATAATGTTTGGTAATATTTATGGACAAGATATATGTATTATGTTTGATAAGTTCTGTTGACAGTACATGTGTATATATATATAGATATGTAATTTCTATTGACAGGATACTTGTATCATGTTTGATAATTGCTTGTGTGTGTCCAAGTAATGTTGTTTTAGTTGTTATGAGACTAATAATGTGATATTTGCACAACACTTTATAATTATTGTTATAAACATCAGAATTCGGAAAAAAAAATATTTGATATTTGGTTATTCTTGAGGCTTTAATTTATGACTAATAAATGTCAAAATATGTACGTAATTTCCGATAAATGAAGTTAGTTTTCATATTAGATGGTGGTAAATGTTTATTACTGGATTTAATCACCAGGACGTCATGTGCGCTAATTATATAAGTACGAGCACTGTTAATATAGATATGATTGATTTTGAAAAGTGATAAGTAGAAATGTCTATAAATTATGTTTTTTTCTAGTCCTTATGTGTGATTTATGTAAATACATTTTTATTTTGTTTTTATAGTGAATATAAAAAAATTATAATTGACATACATGCATGATACGACTATTAATTATTTATTACTTATTAGTTAACCATTAAAATATGAGTGATAGATGTCAAACTATATGTAACAAGGCCTTCGTTTCTGTTGGTAATGGGCTGTACTATAATCGGTGAATGTTAATCATTTAAATGTCATAGCGTATATATAATTGTCAATAACTCTCCTACATTGTGTAATGTAGGCCTGCAATTTATAAGTTTGTTTCTCATGGTTAATAATTGTTGAATTATGTGTAACGTAAAGTAATTGGTGGTATTTCCATATTGAGTCTTTGAATATGTCTGCACAGTTTTAGTAGATGAGATTACAAATTGGTGTATTAGTAGTCAGTCTTATAACATGTGTAATACCTGATAATGCTATGTGTTTGGTCATTGATTTAACTACATCTTCACTCACAGAGTAGCCTATAAGTCCTAGTACCGTATACCCTGAATACTAGAGAGGCTTACAATTATTTCCATGCTGAAGAAATGCGAGTCTTAGATTCCTATAAGAATTATGTGTAATTCGTGATACTAAGAGCTATTTCGTAGCGCTTTCAGTTCTGCACATTGAAAAATAATCTAAATTCTGAAAGCACGAATAAGAGCGTGTATGAATAACAACGATATATAGTTTTGAAAACATTTACCAAAGTATACACTGACCGATGGAAACCTTTTAATGGCAAAGTTATAGCCTATTTCAAAGTTATAGTTAGTTTATAACCAAGCTACGTTTGAAAACATTTTGTTATATAACATATATTTGAAAGACTTCTGGGTAATTTTAACAATTTCTAACAAAATAAGATAATAATTAACAATAACGTTAGATATAAATGGCTATTACTATTCTAGTAAAAAACATTGTCACGCCATTTAATTAACCAACTCTGCGAAACGAAGCATAAAAGGGAGTGTTATGGTTAATAGTCGAGATATTGCTAATAAGAATATTTACTTACAGCTCGAGTTTTGAATTGAACTAGTTAGAAGTGATAGTTACAGATGCTACACAAAAGTTTTGTTCCATTTTTTTTTATTAAACTGAGCATACTACTTCAGCTTCTATGTTATACGATACGTACGACTATTATTTTTTCATTCTTTTTTCTTATGAAGCGATTTCAAAACCTATGATCTTAAAATGATAAAGCTGGTTGATGCTCTTAACTCACTATTTATTCCAACAACTCAATAGTTTATTTTTAATTGATAATTTCATCTTCGCTCCTATGTTTATGAAGTAAAGAGAAGGGCATAAACTGTGATTTATGAATATAATCTCGTAGGTTATGGACGAATTCTTCAATACAGATCAGCCAGAATTTGGAGCAATAAACATTACAGGCTTTCGTATGCTAAAATCACTTAGCTCTGAATATCAGGAGATTCTAAAGAAGTGGGAGAGTCTGGACCCAGAATATTGGCCTGGGGCTGGCGAAAACTATATATCTGTGAGTATCATTTTAGATTGAACAAGAGTAAACGTTTTTCTCATTATAGATGTTTCAATAAAAAACCTATTTTTATGTCTATGAGCTTATTCATGTGATTATGTGTTTACGTTTTCAAATGACCATGTGTGAATTGTGTCTTTTAATGACAGTTGATGTTTTATATTTCAACTAAACATTTGTGTCCTCACTTTTTTCAATAGACTGTAAGGTTACTTTTTCAAATCATTGTTGCTTGTAAATTTAATTGTTACACTAACTGTTTGTGTGTTTGCTTTGTTCTTTTACTCAATAATTGTCCTGTGCATTTGTGTAAAAAGCTTTTATACTCAAGTCAAATATCAAAATCGAAAAACGTAAATTCTTCACTGTATAGCGCATACATCATACTTAATCATTATATTATAGCTAATATAGCTTTGTCATAAAATGATGAGTTTGTAAATGTAAAGCAACCGTATTCTACACTTTATGACGTAGCTTATATATATATATATATATATTACTCGTTCTTACAGTCCCATTTATACATACCGATACCTGTTGCTATGTGTAAAATTTACAATGGTTCAGACAGACAAACACATAATGCGTCTAACATAAAAGTTAGACAAAGAAGATTAGCGTACAAGATATAGTATGGGAAAGGTAAAATTAAAACATACCCTACACTAAGAGCGTTATCTGTTATGGTATACCACTGTGTGCGTCTAACGTCTTTAAACTCTATTGATAGGATACCCTTTATCTTTCCTACATAGTAGTTTGTACCCTAGTGTTATTTGCCTGCCATCTATGGTTTTTGATTGCTGCCTGAAAGAGTCATTAAAGTACCAAGAAAGACAGGGAAATTGTATTGAGTTACTCGTTCTTTCCCATTTTGGGTAGTAATATTGTTGAAATGAAAGCCACATATAGATATATTTTTACCAGACTTTGATATATCACTTTTTGAATTAATGTATGCGTATTGTCTTAGTGCTTGCAACATAAACTAATACTTACTGTATTTCAAGGTATCAAGTATATGGTTTGGTAGGGAAATTTGTAGCATTTGATAATTCAGCTCTTGGCTGGAGGTTGTGTTTAAGAAAATTAAAAAAAAGGAAATTCGGGCATTAAAGTATTGATAGTACACTTTAAGAGTATCCATTTTGTTTCAAGATGTCATGTAAGAAGGTAATTTTGGTATGGAAGGACTGATAGCTGAAACAGAAAAACACGAAATAAAGTTACTTTGTACCGAGAAAATATAATTGTCAAAAGCAGTTAAGAAACAAGTAAACATTTTCTATCGGTAAACTGATGTTAAAAAAACCGTTCGGATATCCTGTTACAATACTGTTTAAAAAAGAAGGATTTAATTAGTTTTGTTTTAAGGGTCAATTATATGTTAAGATTTCGTGAGTTTAGGCGTATTCTATAGAACTGAAGATGGAAAAGAGTATTCAAAATACTTTATTTAAAGAATAGATCTGAAGCTATCAAAGTATTCATCCAGCCATTTGTTTCTCAGGATACAAGCCGTAATCGAAGCGCCATCTATCTGGCATATGTTCACAGTTGAAGTGAATATGGTAGCGAATACAATGGATTAGTCGTGTCTGGTTTGGAAAATTTATATAATACGTCTCTTAAAACGAGAAGTTTCAACCGTTTGAGTAGCGTGCCATAAAGAAAGAAGGAATAACAAAATCAGCCATCACATGATTTTCAAAACGATTAAAGTCATCATTTTCCTCAAGTAAGGATGCAATGACCACTTTTAACACCATGCCCTAACGAAACGGTTGAAATCAAATATGTTTGAACTATCGTACTCTCTACGGATTAATTACTTCTCACATAACATCTTCAACAAAATAGATACACTGAAATCTTATTCCAGAATTGTATTCGCATGTTTTAACTTGAATCCCCAACCCAGAGGTAAACCAAGAAATGTTTTATACTATCTTACCAACTTATACATCCCCTAGTTTAATAATAATTAAACATTAATAATTAATGTATAATAGATGATTAAGTTAACACACAAATAATACTCCCATATTCTACTTGGAGTCATTTTCTAGCCTATTGTATGATTAAAGGGCTTATTCCCTTTCAAAGAACCAACTACAAAAACACAGCCCTCGTGGATAGTAGTCAGATATTCGTGTGCTGACAGTAAAACCACCTACATTAGAAAGCCCGAACACAATCTTTCCATGTGTACCCATTAATACTTAGGAAGTTATTCAATCACGTTCGAAGTGTTTAACACTTGCACTTTAACCATTCCTTCACCCAAATATGTCACTAACTACCACATTAACTTGGATTTGTCAATTCAGGTAAGCCAAAGATAGAATCTTTAATCACATAAACCCTACTAATCAATAAACACAGATCAGCATTTAATAATATTATTAACTCCTTTCACTAGATATCTTAATATGTTTAAAATATATGGTGTGTTTATTTTACAGGTAACCATTAAAATTGCTTTATTTCTCATATAAAAACCTAAAACTTAATTTTTTTACCAGGCAGACTGTAGCAGTGCCTATATAGGGATGGCTCGGGTTGTTCGTTCAAATGGTATTTTAGATATCTCTTCAATAAGTCACAGAACTTTACAAAACTATACCATGCTTCCTTTTATAACAATATCTATGTAATGACTAAGTCACAAGTTCTGGGAATGTCTGTAAATATCATAGAAAAAAGATTGAATTTCTTGTTCCTTTTTCTTCTGCTTCTTTTTTAATACATGATAACGCAAAGACCAATAAAATGGTGTCAACCTATTTCTTTGAGGTGACATAGTTTCAATCGGAGTATCCGCTTTTATAAGTATTATTAACTAGCAGTAATTTTAAAAAATCATAATTCTAGTGTAAACGATGTTATCATTACCTCTTGAAGTTAGCTTTCTTACAGAACTCTATTATTCCTTTAAAAAGCTTAAGTACAGGGTGAAACAGGCATTAGCACCCAATAGCAGATAAATAATAAATATTACAGTTGGAACTTCATTGTATTTAGAACGTGGTTATAAATACAACCTTCCTATGTCTATTGAAATACTGCATTAAAGAAAACAAGCAAACAAGTAAAGAAAATACTTTTCAAAAAGAAAGTAAATGTAGGGATGGCTGATATCAATCCTTCAAAAACAATGTAAAAAAAGATAGTAGGGATGGCATTTGCATCATCCCTACATAATAGCATAGGCAAGAATTAACATATAACAATATGTATAACTATTCAATCACAATTGAGTTTAATTTATTTTATGCTATTATGCAGGGATGATGCAAATTGTCGTTATTGTTCGCATTGTTTTTGAAGAATTGATATTAGCCTCCCCTACATTTGCTTCCTTTTTTGAAAAGCTTTTTCTTTACTTGTTTTGTATTTTAAATGCAGTTAATCATGTTTCAAATACATCATAATTCTGTCATTCGTGATTTTGCCAGTCATAATCATTATAGTGTTTCTATAAATAATTGCTGATTATAGATTACGCACTGTGTGAAACGTACATAAATAGAACGTGGTCTGATTTCGCCGTCATTTCAATTTTCGTGTTCTTAGGATGGCACTTGTAATTCTTGAGTGCTGTATTTCTACTTATTCAAACGTTATTTATTTTAATCGGACACTTCCATCCTAAGCACAATGTAATGAAATATTACAAGGTGAAAACCGAACCAAAGTGGCATACAAGTTCACGTAAATATTTTATCAGTGTGTACTCTTTAATAAACAGAGCGAAGAGAAACCCGTCAGATTTAATCCTTATTCCATCCACAATCGTTTTCAGGAGAATCTAGAACATTCTAAGGCTGTTTGGTCGGGAGTTGAAATCCCATTTGCACTCATCTACCCCTAGCAACTACTTTCTTTCAATTACAGACTTATAAAAAAGAATGTGGGAAGAACGTGATCCTTTCTGGAATTCTCCGATCAACTCTTCCTTACCTATAATAATACAAAACGATAAAAATAAACTGGGTTTAAGAGTTTGACAATTATGTCACATGCACGTTTGCTTGATTACCCATGTATATTCACTTGATTTTACCGGATATATCGTTAAAAAACAATAAAGCTTTTTAGATCTGTACCCGTCATTCATTCTATATTTGAGTCTTTACCACATTTATCTGAATTATATCAACTTTTGGCTGCACTTTTCTCACATTTTTATAACATGTAAAGAATAATAAAAACATTCGTCTATGATCCAAACTTTCAGAGCGTGTTCACGATTGTTTTATTAATTCTATTAAGCAACTTTGAACAATCAAAATGAAAAATGCCATCATTTATTGCATATTTCACATTAATTGAAATGGTGTGCCACAAACGAGTGAATTCTCAAGTTATTTTAGAGTTTTACGTTCGGTTTTATTTTAAGCGATGTTCACCTTCTACAAATCATAACTTTAATAAATGAACTTAAGTATACTGTATAAGTAAGAATGAAAACAGAACCTACTGATAATGTCAAGTTTCTTTACAGTTATTCTAATAATCCCATCAAGAACTTGACATCTTCTAGATGGTGAATTCCTAGTGTGGTTTTCATGTGGAGTTCACTGTCGTTTCATTAATTCATAATGAAACGGCACTATACTACACATCATTACATAACTTAGATAACTTACTTTTAAATAGTTATCCAACAAAAAACAGTCCAGTTCGACAACCAGACGTTTCAAAAATATAGCTTTTCCAAGGATGTTCTCAAAGTGTATTGTGCGGCTTCTCTTATAAAACATATTTATACTTTTTCTGTTAAACTGATGGACAAGTAAGAGATAATTTTCATTCTTAAGCATAACTAACAGTTTTGTAATTTCAGAATTACTGAACATATTGGAGTGATGCACATGTCACCAACATGCACTCGTGAAGTTATCAGTAGCATGAAACAGAAATGGTTGTATAAATGTAATCGTAAACTTCCATAGGTATAAACAATAACTAATATAGTAAATGTCTTTGCTAAAATTTTGATTGTTTTGAAACTGGACGCATAAATAATAATAATAACATAAAGTTGACTAAAAGTGAAAAAATATTTTTTATTATATGAAAGGTGGCATGAACTACCTTGACTACTGCCTATATATGAAAGGTGGCATGAATTACCTGGATTACATTGAATCGAGTGGGGGATACTTTACCAACATTTGTTTAATTAGTTTCAAAAATAAAAAATATCCAACAAAGTGGATTTTCAAACCTCATACTGAAATGTTTTCTTCAAAAAACAACTTACCGATTTCTTTTGTTAATAGCCAATAGAACTTACTTTAATATAAGCTACGTCCCTCCATTCACGCAGTTTGATGTACCAGAACGATTTTTTCCCTTATTCTGCTGTTTACTGGTATCTATGGTCTTCTGTTAAAAAGTAATTGAAACAACTTATACAGAATTCACATTCATAAGTATCAATTCTTGAAGAGTTTATACGCTTGTTATTGACAGACATTTTTTTATGCTTCAAGCACTTCCAGCTTTGAGTACACTGTTTTTCACAATAAGAAAACATTTGAAATATTACAAGACTTACTACAGCGTTAATTCAAGCCAAGTTGTTAACATTAGACGTATATTGTGAAACTGTTTATAAGTGGTGTGTAAAGCCTAGAGATTATAGATATACATTGATGCTTTTTGAATAGTTTCCTATGGACTCCTCTTGTCTTCTGTTTGGCTTTGGAGACCAGACGACATTTCGCACTAGACTTGAACATAGAATCCGGAACGTCGTCTCTAAAATCCGACAGAAGGAAGAAACAGACAAATAGGAAACTACTTATTATCTCAACACATTATATAAAACTTTCTTTAAGAGATTCCCTGAATTTACTTGTATATAATATATGTATATAGCAAATATCATAAATATATTTCTTATTATATGTCTTGTCAGTCATGTGTTATTCTGCCTTGTTCATGAATTTTATCACAAAAACAGACATGCTTGTTGTTCATAGCTGTTCGTAATAAAATAATTATTGAGGAGCTTGCAAAGAAACTCATACACATACGAAAAAGTTACAGAAACAGTATGGAAAACCTTGAGAACCCTTGTATATAACCATCAGTGTTACTGGCCAGAGCGTTTCCTAGCAACACGTTATATATTTGCTACTAATACCTATACATATTATGCTTAAGGCGAATTCTTGTTGGCTTGGTTTCGTCAAGACCCTTGGGACTGTTCTGTAAATAAGCGCATCCTTCTCCATATTAACTGGTCTTACTTAGACAGCAGTTAAATGTTTCTTACAAATTCTGTATCGAAACAAGTAATACTTAAATAAGCTTTTGTCATAAAAATATGGATGTTAAAATAACTAACAGAAAATTAAGTACATTCACACGAACCAACGTATACATCTATATAAATATAATAGTACTGTCTGTTGTATGTTGTTTGTTCATGTAACTACTTCGCAGGGTTTGGTTGGATCTTCACCAAAATTGGTATGGAAGTTCATTAGGTCAATGCGAGGGTACATACACATTTTGCATTTTGCGTTTTGTTTGTTGTTTTTTGAATTTCGCGCAAAGCTACACGAGGGTTATCTGCGCTAGCCGTCCCTAATTTAGCAGTGTAAGATTAGAGGAAAGGCAGCTAGTCATCACCCCCACCGCCAACTCTTGGGCTACTCTTTTACCAGCGAATAGTGGTATTGACCGTCACATTATAACGCCCACACGGCTGAAAGGGTGAACATGTTTGGTGGGACTGGGATTCGAACCCGCGACCCGCAGATTGAGAGTCGAGTGCCCTAACCACCTGGTCATGCCGTGCCATTTTGCGTTTTACAGTTTATATGGGGATTTTTTACCATTACTTTGCCCCTTTTCACTCCAAAAGTACTTAATCACGTGTAAGTCTACAGTGAATATTTAGCAATTATTCTCAAATACATGATGAGTGGATTCTATGCTATAACTCAATTTATTGTTGTTTCTGTCCTATAGTCAGATGTCGCACTGATGTATGATGGTGTGAAAGTGGTACTGGATACGTACAATAGACTCTTGAAACAGAAGCATGATCTCTTTCGAAACAATTTCAGAAGAGGGCAGATCTACAACAACGGAACGAAAGGTATCTTATGTGACAATCGACCCATAAACCCATGGGAACACGGAGAGAAAATAGCGGCAGAGTTAAAGAAGGTTTGAACACGTTTGAAGTTAACACCTTAATGGTTTAAATAGAACGTTTCAATTATGTGCTTTATTGACTTACACAACAATTTACTATGTTCTTTTTTTTCCTGGTTGATATCCACGTAACCAATCAACAGTAAAAAATACGATGATCATTTAATATTTTTAAATATATCTCTTAAGTGATAGACGTTTTACAAGCTCATTTGAAATTTGTGAATTGTATTGAAAACATTCTTAGATGAAGAGAAGTAAACTGTAAAATGTATCATGAAAAGTTGAAACACGCTGTAATTTCTATCATGGAAGATAGGAATTCGGAAATAGTAAGGGAATTTTCTCGCTGCACTATACAAAATAGTTAGTTTGACACGGTGTTGATAATTGAATAGTGATATAGCTTAATTTCTAAGTATTACTTTGAAAAAATATTAAGTTGATTTCATTTGTCTTCGTGATACTGTCTTTAGTATCATCGTATAGTACCAAATTCATTATGATTATTACTCCATCTTGTATGTAATGTATGCTAAATGAAATCTATCAGTATCATTCACTTTGCAAAGTTAATGGCATGGTCATTAATATTATTATTTTAACTCATTTAACAAGGTAATACTTAGAAATGTAATGTGTCAAAATTCTCTCTTCCTTACGGTTTCAGTTATGTTATTAATATTTATTAGTTTTAACATGCTAATATATCTAGAAAAACTATCTCCAAAAATCCCCCAATAAGCTATTCAGCTCAAAATTCTCTAGACATTAACATTGCCGACGATGAAATGGGATGTTTGACTGGAACCCGTATGATGGTGAACCCATACCCTGTTGATTCCATTTCCATACACAACCCGGTATTTCTGTGTGTTACTAAAGTTCCAAATAATTGACTTGATAGTGAGCAGAGTTCACTGTGACTTCTGTATCCACTTTCCTAATCCTTTACTTGCTCCTGGCGTATCATCCAGCGATGACAGTGAATCCCTCCAAAAAGGATTTGTGACAAGCACTGTACCATTTTTGGAAATTTCTTTTACCTACTGACTCTTATAAAATGAAATAAGTCTTATTATAGTTATTAAGGTGCACATATGCTTTGTCGAGTGTTACTACGTCCTGCCATTTCTTTCCGGCTAGATATCATTCATACAGTTTTCTACAGTTGGTGTTCCTTTCCTGTATATGTTGTTCAAAAAACTTGTACACATGTGACTGAATAATACTGGATTGTGTAGCACTCTGTTGCCTCAAACAAGTGAACGATTTTACCACTGACCTGTTACAAGACGCTGTGCTCTGATTACTGCGGTACGAATTGTTGCGGGTTTCTTTCTGGATGGTCCTGGTACCCTAAGTTGAACCATATTCCTCTGTTTTCAAATGCTAATAAGTACAAGGGATAACCTTTCTTGAAATTTTAACTCCCCCATTGTGATTTGAATATACGATCAATTTTCGGTGGCATTGTACTACTTTAGAAACGCCAAAAAATGTCAAAATGTAATTCTCACACATATATTTCTGCTGCGACTTTATATCGATTATGTTTATTACGTGACATCTGTATCTGCAGATTCAAAATAACTTTAATATAACATACTCAACCCTCCGTAGGTTCTCGAAATCCTTGTTTACGCTGCTATCATCATTTTTTTTTTTTTGTATTGGGTGGCTGAGCCTAGAAATTGGAAAGTTCATGCTCATTTTTATACACCATTCTTTTTTGGTGTTGTGCTATCATGTCTACAAAATGTAAGTGTTATATGGTTCAAAATAAAGTATTTTGTGGCTTAAGTGAAAGAAATATTTTTCTATTTCTCAGCCTGGAAGTTATATGATCTACAGAAGGTGCAAATTTGTTTTCTATCATTACAGGAGTTTCAAGTGTTCGGTTTAGGTAAAAGTAAACAATTTTTTAACTGTATATAACAGATATTGTGTGGGTGACATATTTTTATATACTATTCTTTACACATTTTTTGAATGTTATCTTCTTAAACTTTGTTTTAATAACATCGTCACGAGTTTTGGAAAGTAGATTTTGATTTTACTAATAATTTGTTCTAAATCACGATTTTCTATCAAATTAAAAAGTTATTTATTTCATTTTTTTTATTAAATGGTATACAAACGTTAATTATGTGTTATACTGTATATTTCGTTTTAAGCGGAAAGCTGAATAATAGGCTATTTGCTTTATGTCCATCATAGGTAGCAAGCCTTGAATGTTAGTGTTATAAGCCATCAAATTTAATGCTGAGTTTTTCTTATAAATTATCTACTTATCAGTAAATTGTTGACTACTTTGATTCTAAACTTTAAAGGACCTTACTTGTGTCTAATCTAGTTTTGTGATTTAACTTACATATGTCCTTTTCTTAGTTGTTCCTCCGTGGGACAGCGGTAAGTTTACGATATTATAACGCTAATATCCGGAGTTCGATTCCCCATGGTGGACATAGCAGATATGCCAATGTGTCTATGCTCTAAAACATACAAACAAACTCTCCCTCTCTAGTTTATATACCTTGAGAGAAAATAAAAACTAAGGAGAAACAGTCAAGAAAGTTAAGCAATTATCAAGTAATATAATTTAAGGGTGGCTCAGGATTATATATTTAACTTAATAACTTATGCCTGTCATAAGGTTAAGCAGTTGTAACCAGTTTAGACGTTGGAAATAGAAAAGGGTGTTAAAAATGGGGGGGGGGGGTTGTGCTATTTTTTATCTCAGATAGATGTTCAAATTAATTATGCAGTTTTTATGTCTCAGATACACATATATGTATATGTATGTGTACATTTTACGTTTTCGATCCTAAATATCAAGAAGGTGCTATGGATAAATATATATGTATATATATGAATATAAGAGAGAAATACATCAACGTGTATTCACAGCATTGCGTAACAGCTTCAAAAGGCCTCCACTCCACTCGCATGCTGTGGTCAACGGGTTCGAATCTAATCACTAAACCTATTCGCTCTTTCAACCGTTGGAGCATTATAATGTGGGAGTCACTCCCACTGCTCGTAGTGAGTGGTGTTGATTAATTGCCTTCCTTCTGCTCTATCTCTTCAAAATTAGCTTTTATTTACAATTTCTAAATATGAAATAATCTAAACTGTTTTTATATTTTAAGATACTAAATGTAAAACTATGTTTAACAGAAAACTTTGTTACTTACAGCACGTTTAGTTTCATCATCATCATGCATTTTTGCTATTTTGATAGTAGTATCTTCTGTTTATTTTATATTTCCATTTGTTTTTGCAGACGGAGATTCTGGGGTTAACAGGAAATATTTCCTTCTCCGAAGATGGTTTCCGAAAGAATTTCACCATCGACATTGTTGAAATGAATGTTGATAGCAAAATGGTTAAGGTATGTAGATTAGATTTATGAAAAAAGCATATTTTTTATTCTAGAACATATCTTAGTCACAGATAAACTAAGATCTGTTTTTTTTCTCACCGCATTTTTAATGTAGCAAACATCAGAATATTGATGACTGAATTGTAAGGGTTATGGATAAAGGTAAATATTATTATCACCTGCCACACGAGCTAGTCTGGCATCTTGATATAGATTCAATACAATGAATCATTCCGGAAATATCTGGGTTGTTTTATTAGATAAAAAAAAGGCGTTTGGCAATATTTTCGAGGTCTAGATCACTGAACCTGACCCGAGACCATGAGCGTCAACATGGAAAAGTTAAATTGTAAATGTAAATTAAAACGATGTTGCAATGAAACATGATTGAAATGTTTTAGATGTGGTTGTGAATGGGATAGTTTAGCGATTTAGCTAAACTGGTCGCCCAGGTCGTATGAGGGAACAACTTATTCTAAGATATCCCAATCGATTTGACATACCAGCTGAATCGGAGATTCGTCAATTGATTACTGCTTTGACCACGAAACATGAAAAAAATAGGAACAATAGTATTGTTGTTCTAAAAAAGTGGGATTGAAATCATATATATGAAATCATTAGTTGCGATATTTTGTGAAATTAGCGGTACAATAATGCTAAAAGGTGCAGTGTTGAAATCAAAGCAGATGCACGATGCATTGCAAGATGATTTCTCTAGCAATTCTCAAACTAAAAATGTAATTTCTGCAATGAAAAGTAAATATAAAAAGGATTGCATAATGCTCAGTGTGGTACCACCATAGTATAATCCATATAGATTTCATCATGTCATATTTTCATTAATATTTGTTTTTGTTTTTTTTTCGTTTTAGATGTTGTGCCGAGTTTCATCCATCATGATCTGTTGAAATAACCATAAATCAACGGTTTCCGGAATGACCTTCCTGTTGACCATCCTAGGCTAAGTACTAAAAGATGCTGGGCTAGTTCGTGTAGCAGGTGTTATAATTGTATTACACAATAACTTAAAAGGTCTGACATATTGGCCTGACATGGATCGGTTGTTAGAATACTCGACTCGCAATCTATGAGAGCGTTTTAATGTGATGGTCCATTCCACCTTTCACTGGAAAAGAATAACCCCAGAGGCGGCAGTGGACGGCGTTGACTATCTTTGTCTCTAGTCTATCACCTGTAAATTAGAAACGGCTAGTGCAGATAGCCCTCTAGTAGCTTTGCGCAAAATTCAAGAATCAAACAATTAATATTCTACCTATATTGACCTTATTACATCTAGTGTACATACGAACATTAGCTCATCAAAATTAAAATATTCATCCACAGCATAGCACTCACTATGCAAGTTGTGTAAAGTTTCACGTATTTTAATTTTGTCGTTGTTTCAGATAGCCGAATTTTCCGACAGCCGAGGCTTAGTGTTTGACACTACTGTTAATGGAGAAAACCTGAAGAATGGATTTGAAAACAAAACCTATATCGTAACAAGCATTCTCGTAAGTGTTTTTTTGGGGCTTTTAACCAGTAAATGTAGGGTACCGTCCGAGAAAAAAAAAGTATCATAATTCCCTATTTCCCCTTATGTAATGTGACGAAATATCTTCACAATAAGTTCATTTTATATAAATATCGCTTTAGAAAATTGTTATTGTTTGCTAAATAACATAATTGTGTAACTTTACTGTAGTGTCATGATCCTGATTAGATAGTGTAGTTTTAAATGTTGATTTTGGAAAACGTTTTTAGTTGTATTCCGTGCGTTAAGACAGACGAAAATGTCCCTTTAACTCTTGAGTAGTTTAATATTTCAATACTTTAAATGGATATTATTGCCAAATGTATGTGTGTGTGTTCCGTTTTTTATGCTTAATACACATCGGGCTATCTGCTGTGTCTACCGAGGGGAATCAAACCCCTGAGTTTAGCATTGTAGTTCTGTAGACTTACCCTAAAGATAATATGTAAAGTTCCGATACAAAGGGAAATAACAGAGAATAAATTATTCGCTGTAATTTGATTCTCTTGGATAAATAAACATTAGCGACTCATATTATTTCTATATATATATCCAGTTTGAGATATTTACTAAAATATATATCTTCATTAAATATATTTTTCCATATTATGTAGAATTGATGAAGAGTTTTGGAAATTAACTTAGCTTCAAATATTACATTTCATGCCACATATAATACAGTATTGGAAATGATTAGTGGAAACAATAAATAAAATTGGTATAAAAATGCAAATATTATGGGATGGACTTCCCCCCTCTTGTATGCAAACGAATTATACCCAAGTACAGTCAGGTTTTCATAATTTACTCCGTGAGCGGCTGTCGTCTAACTATTCATACTGTGCCACATAAAAACAATGACTATAAAGGACAGGCATCATACAATTCCTAAAAGGTACACAAGCCTCTCAATCAAAATAAAAAGTCTTTCGTGAAAGATCTAGAAACAAAGTTATAGCTGGTTGAATTTACTGTATGCGATAGATTAGGTAAAATTTCACGTTTCAGTAGGAGCTGTAATAAAACTCAAAATTTTGTGAAGAGATTAGATGAAACTAGTACTGTTGATAATATAAGTAACTTAGGATATGCTCGTTATTTACGACAATCCAGTAGAAATCTCGCCAGTGACCTAGCTTAAAGGACAGTTGTGAATGTTACATCCGAGCAGTAAGATATATATTAACACGAAATGGTCTCAATGGATGTATAGCTACAAAAATTCGTTGCTTAAGAGAAATCCAAACCAAAGTCCTAAAATTAGCATCAGACTTCCAACAATGGGATGAGCAAATCTGGATGAGGATGCTTTTTATAAATAAATCCAAATTAAAATTATTTGACAACAATCGACGACAGTTTATTCGATGGGCTGAGATGAAAATGTAACAAGATCAATGTACAGCATCTACATTTAAGCATGTTTGGGGAACAATAAAAATTTGGGTTGCATATTAGCCAAAGTTGTTGGATATCTACAAAAAATGGATGATACTCTGACTACTGACACGTACAAGGAAATCATAATATCCGTGAATTTATTCACTTGAGAACAAGACTTCTTGGTCAGAACTTCATCTTTCTGCAAGACAGTGATCCTAAATAGGCAGTAAATGTAGTGAAACGATACCTGAAATAAAAAATTTGCTGATGTGACACTCACAACCAAGGTTTCGCCTACACAAAGTCCTGATATTGATTATTTTTTAGTAGTAGATGGATTTATATGTGAATTGAAAAAGTCGGCCTGTAAACAAGCAAGTTATGGAGAGTAATACAGGACATTTGGCACGATACATCACTATCATACTTCTGCTGAACTTATGATAGCTTAAAAACAAGATGTACTACTCTATTCAAACCGAACATAAAAATACTAGTGTATTGTAAAACATATTCGTTTGTTGCATTTTGTGTAATAACGTTTTGTAGTTATGATAAATTAACTATTTAGTTGCAAGGACTTATTGTGTTTGACTCCTGTATGTATGTATGACCTGGCGTTTACGTAATTATTTCCAATTCTGTGTATAAACAGTTTATTTTTGTGAAAACACTTATATGACTTTCCAATATTGATAATTGTAGCATACTTCTTGTGTTGATTGTTGTTAAAGTGAAGGTTTTTATAGTATTAAGTATTTACTATTACATATATATTCATATCTATTTTAGAAATTATTTTATCTTATGGAATTTTCATTAGAAATTATATCAAACCTTTAATCATTGATTTTGCAAAAAGAAATAATATAAGTAATGATTACATCGAGTTATGTATGTAGCCCAATAAGTTAGCACATTACGACAACATACTTATTATGCAGTGCTTACTGTAGCATCATTACTTAGTATTTCAATATTAGCTGTATACGTCAATATACAAACAAATAATCCAATATAGAATTTCCTGAAGTTAACAGCGTTTACGTATTACATTGATAGAGAAATTTTACATATGTTTATTTATTTAGATTTTGAATGATTTATTCAAGGGACATATATAAGTAGTCTGTGCGATTTACTAGTAGCTTTGCTATAATAATGCAATTTTAACATTCACCACTTTGCTCGTACACCACAATACAGTACTTTAACCTGACACAATTTTCGAACAACGATAAATGTTTGTTAATTTGTTTGAAGTTAAGCACAAAGCTACACAATGGGTTATCTGTGCTCTGCCCACCACGGGTATCAGAACCCGGTTTCTAGCGTTTTAAGTCCGCAGACATACCGCTGTGCCACTGGGGGGCAACGATAAACGAAAGAGGGAGTAAAAACTACGGTCGATGTCTACAACACACTTAGAAGGAAAAGCAAACTTTTACTAAGTTAATACACTATAAGTTAGTTTTACAGGGTCTCTAATCACGACGGTCTTCTCCTTTTTCAAGTCTACTAAAATATGTTCTTTTATAAGTCAAAATGAGGTTCTGGTTGTCTGGGTTGGGTATTGATAAATGTAGTTGCAAAATATCAGTAAGTAAATTGAGAAAAAGAAAAAATGCCAAATCCACGCGGATGTAATTTCTAAGCTTGTTCCAGATTTAGTACGCATCACATTGTCGCTGCAAGCGCATCATGATGATACTTCAAGTTTTATATTTACATCATATTATGAAGTGTTAAGAACAAAATAATTACTAAGAATAAAGAACAGATTGCAAGTCAAATAACAACAGTCAGGCCATTGTCCGTGAAATCTGTAAAGAAAATATAGTAACATAAGAAAAATGCATTGAAAAGTATCAAAATAATCTATTATGTGTCACTGGTGACAGTGTGGTTATAAGTAAGCGATGTTCGAAATTATGATTTCCAGAAAAAACGCATTCTCTATCTCAACAATGAGATACTTTCCATTCTTATTCTCAGAAGAAAAAAGAGAGCAATTACTTATTCTAAATGGATTTTTTTTACATAAACAAAAAAGTAAATCCATGCATTATATAAACGTTGATAAGAGACTGGAAATTTCAATCTGAACGGTACCTAATGAATGTGTGTGATTCGGGTGTGACCGTCCCTAATATTCAGCTACGGAACAGAGAAAGAAGATAGCCAACCCGCATCACCCGCCGTATAAAGTCTTTGTCCACCTCTTTGAGCCGAATATCGGGATTTATTTTTACTTCTATTACGCGCCTAAAGCTGAAAGCGTGTTCAGCGGCATCACGCATCGAACTCAGGCCTTTTCCATAAGCAGCCGCTACCCATTAAACACTAGGCCACACCAGGCCTTAAATGTATATAAGAAATGTTATTATTTTTTCATCCACGTAGGTTTTTAAAAAATGTGTTTTTTTATTTATTTAAAGAACTATACAAGCTCTTTTAGAATGAGAAGTTTGGCACAAAAGACATTTTAAACGTCATTAAACGCAGATTATAGGTCTATTGAATCTACCCTGTATAAGCTTATGTGTGTAAACTAACAATGCACCTTACATTATGTTCTTTCCAATATTGTTTTTAAAAAAGGAAATATTTCTACCAGATGAATACAGAAGCTATAAAAATATAATAGTTGCATAAACATTTTCCTACATACTTTTATAACTTACAGTGTCCAGTGAATTCACCGTAAAGTTGGACAACAGTTGAAGGGTGGCAGTTTTCAACTATTTCTATGAGGCCATTTCAGTTATTTTACGATTCCCATGCTTAAGTTTGCGGTACACTTTAGTTTTTTGAGTTTATTTCTACAGACTTAAGAGAACTTACCAAATTCCAAAGTTCAGCCTGCTACGCCACTTCACAGTCTCCACTCTTTATCTTGTAAGTCAGTGGGTTTACAACGCTAAAAATAGTGTTTTGATACCCAGGGTGGGTGGCCAGTTCAGAGATAACCCATTCTGTAACTTTACACTTTAGAACAAACAAACAATCTTTTCAGACTGAGTGCCTTTTGAATAAACCGAAACTTTCTACGGCCACTGTATGAAATAATTTTATTGCAAATGTAGTCAGGGGAATTAGTATAATTTGCAAACCATTTATGGATAGTATATAAAAAAATTAAACTACTGGCATTTATGTTACGATTTCTAATATCCTCATGAACCCCAGTTGATAATCATTGTTCTATGTTGCTGAACGCCATTATACCTTGAACCGTGGCTAAGAGGTTAAAACAAAACTTTAGAGTCATTAAATGCAACGTAGGGATGATTTTATCATTTAACTGCACTTTTTAGATACACGAAGTTTTATGTATAACCATTTCTTCAAGCAAATTAGTTCATAAACGGTGTATTAACGAGTGACATTGCTGGGTACTAGATGTGTCTATGTAGTTCTAGAGAAGAAGGAGGCTAGTGTGTTGATTTAAAACTCCCTAATGTATACGCAAGGCCTCAAGGAAAATCTGTACTCTTCTATCTAAAGGACTTTCGATGTTCTTGTCTATCATCATCAGGAACCGTTTTTCAGTCAAAGTAGAGAGTAAAGTTAAAGGAAAATTATCATTCTCAGGCC